ACACACAGAGATCTGTTTGGAATTATCATATATAGTTTAGAAAATCGCTATTTGGTCCTTAAACTTTAGATTATTCACGAAAACAGCTGAAGTTTGAAAAAATACCAATAATACACTAAATGAATGGCTAAATTACGAAATGTGATACTTTTTTTTAACTCATCTTAATTAGTTTCATATTAAAATTTTCTCTAGCAACTTTTTGATATTAAAAGTCCACTCATTCTGCCATAAGGCATTTTTCTCTGCCACCCGTGAAAATTTGGGAAAACTTTTATCAGTTTTCAAACACATTCACAACGAAGAATATGTTTTTATTCAATCAAATACTAATAATCATCCGATCAACCATCTACATCTTCAAAATTAAAATAATAAGTTAAGAAATCTATAATTTTATCGGTGCCACGCCATCTAAATCTAGGTATGCTAGTTAAAAAAGGTATATCATCATTCTAATAATCTTGAAATTAAATCATATTATGCTGTGCAACTTTTCTATCAAGTTTGTCGTTGGTGGTGAAAATAATGTCTACTTACACATTTGATGTCCTTTTGGTACCAAAGTTTAGCCCTAAGTGAATTAACGAAACGGAGAGTAGGGATGAGACCTTTAGAATTTAGCAAAATTTAAAACAAAAACAATAACAAGTATGAGCGTTAAAGAACACTGAACAAATATTACGGCACAAATACTTTTTCCGGTTTGAACAGTTGAAAGCCGAGGGGTTATGTACCAAACCGTCAAACTTTAGGAATTTATTTGTAAAATTTACCCTGTCTTTTTACCGTTACCATTTTACAGAGCTCGAATCGGATCAAATCCCTAGAAAAAACCCCAATCTCCATCAAATCCCCAATTTCCCCCTTCGAAAAACCCTAGATTCCCAAATCACAGAGCCCAGAAACCGTAGAAATCGCCTCGCCGCGCCCCAATGCCATGGGTAAAGGTCGACCTCGCGCAATCGAGAAGTCAATCCGGAACCCTAGTTTCTCCCCTCCCCCAATCCCCCAAGCGCCCGTTTTCTACCCGACGGAGGAAGAATTCAAGGATCCCTTAGATTTCATCTTCAAGATCCGGCCTCAAGCCGAGCCCTTCGGGATCTGCCGCATCGTCCCGCCGAAATCCTGGTCGCCGCCATTCGCCCTCGACGCTCAGAGCTTCACTTTCCCGACGAAATCACAGGCGATCCACCGCCTGCAGGCTCGGCCGCCTTCGTACGACTCGGAGACCTTTGAGCTGGAGTACAGTAGGTTCTTGGAGAATCAGCTGGGGAAGAAGTTGAAGAAGAAGGCGGTTTTTGAGGGTAAGGATTTGGATTTGTGTCGTGCTTTTAATGCGGTGAAGAGATATGGAGGGTATGATAAGGTTTGCGAGGGGAAGAAATGGGGTGAGGTTGCGAGGTTGGTTAGGCCGAATGGAAAGATATCAGAGTGTGCGAAACACGTGCTTTGTCAATTGTATCGCGAGCATTTGTATGAGTACGAGGAGTATCAGAGCAAGAAGTGCAAGAGGGAGAGGGAGCAGAGTGGATATAATGAGAAGAAGGGATCGAAAAAGAGAAAGAAGAGTGATCTGGGAGTTGTTGAGAGAGTGAAGGAAGAGGTTAAGGAGGAGTTTGATCAGATTTGTGAGCAGTGCAAAAGTGGTTTGCATGGGGAAGTCATGTTGTTGTGCGATCGGTGCGATAAAGGTTGGCATTTGCATTGTCTTACGCCGCCATTGAAGAGTGTGCCGCCTGGGAACTGGTATTGCTTGGAGTGTGTGAATTCAGATAAGGATAGCTTTGGTTTTGTTCCCGGAAAGGATTGTTCGTTGGAGATTTTTAGACGAAAGAATGATCGAGTGAAGAGAAAGTGGTTAGGGCAGACTTGTACTACCCGAGCACAGATTGAGAAGAGGTTTTGGGAAATTGTGGAGGGAAAAGGAGGAGAGGTGGAGGTTATGTATGGTAGTGACTTGGATACCTCGGTTTATGGTAGCGGGTTTCCCCGTGTTGATGATCCAGTTCCTGCTTCAGTTGATTCAGATGTATGGAGGGAGTATTGTTCTAGCCCGTGGAACCTCAATAACTTGCCGAAGTTGTCAGGGTCAATGCTCCGTGCGGTTCATGATAATATTGCTGGTGTTATGGTTCCTTGGCTTTATATTGGGATGCTATTTTCATCCTTTTGTTGGCATGTTGAAGATCACTTCTTTTATTCAATCAATTACATGCATTGGTATGTACACTCTACTGCACATCTTTTATCATTATTAGCGGTGTATTGCCCTTGGAATAACCATAATAAATTTGAATAATTGAGAAGACTAACACTAGGAACTTGAATTGAACATGATTCATAATAAAGGCGAATATGATTCATAATCAAAGGTGGAATTTTACAACTTTGATGTGAACCCATGTAAAGTAATACAAGGAAAAGAAAGCGTTTCAACTCATAAAGGCATGCGATAGCTTATTGTAGGGTAGAAGGAAAATGCATTCTTTCTAACGTTCATATAATAGGGTGTTGTGTACTAGCATTGGTTGTTTTTAGGAGGTAGGTAATACACAAACTAAATAAGGAGGATTTGAGAGGGTCTTAGGAGGAGCAATAGTATGAAGATAATGAAATTTGGCTTTGTTGATTTGGACATCGTCCTCAATAAAACCTCAAATTCTTTCCCAATAAAAGAATGGGATTTCTATGAAGCTCAAGTAAAAAAAAAAGAATCTATTCAGGAAGCTATGCGCTTTGAGACCAACTTGGACTCATAAAGCTACCATATAACCTTTAAATTAAATTTAAGCTTATTCAATCAAGGATCTGGTTTTTGAATTTCTTAGACTATAAAAATTGTGGGTTCTTGACCTCATAAGTGGAGTCAGATAGGTATAACTTAACCTTATATCGTGTTTCACCCTTTGGTTAAGGTGTAACCTACGTAAATTTAGCTTGCTCTTTTATATGGGGGAACTTGGAGGTACTTCTCTTCTTTTTATCATGTTGGAGGACTAGAATGCTAGGGATAAAGATGCAACTGTGCATGTTGCTTCAATGTGTTAGTTTGATCAAGCTAGGTGGCTAGGAGTAGTGTTGCAAATGAACCAAATAATAGTAAACTGTTCAGTTATTATTCATTCATATATTCGATCATATTCGATTCGGTAGTATATTTAACAGTAAATGAATATTTTTTAGTATTTGGTTCATAAAAGAAAAGAATTTTACCATAGGTATATTTGATTTTGATTATTGAATAATCATTTATATTTTACATTGTACTCCTATTACTTAAATTATGGCAAATGCTATTCATCCATCTTTTTAGATATGTAATTATGGTATAAGATAGGTACAATAACTATCAAAATAAAATGCAAAAAAAGTCCAGCACAACTTATGATAATATAGTCACAATTTATATCAAAATAAATGTGGAAGGAAAGATGAGCAGAATTTATGGTAAGCTACTTGCAATAAATAGTTATACTAAGTGCAAAAGAAAAAATTCCACCTGGGTGATTCGAGCTGCAGACCACGGAGGAGAATTTCAGACACTACTAATTGCCCTAACAAACATTGGCAAATAATATCGAACAAGACTTTTTAACAAATCGAATTTGAATTCTAATCAAGTATTTGACCCGAATTCGATTATTTCAAACTCTACCTAATTCGAATTCGAATAGTTAAGTATTGGGTCGAATTCAATTTGTATCCACCTATAGCTAGGTGTGTACGCAAGTTAGAGTGAGTTTGCAATTAGATGGGTTGGGTGGTTGATGTTCGAATGAACTCCAATACACAAGACAGTCTCTTTTTTTGGAATTGTTGTTGTCTGCGTTCTTTGATTCATCATGTCATCTATATGGTTGTGCAAACATGACCAAAATTATTGGACTGTCATTCGCCCTTTTGTTCTTGTGCTCATTGATTCTTAGTAGAAAGTCAATTAGCGTGGTTGTTGTGGAATGAAGTTCATAGGTGTTGTGTCATGTATTGCTCATGTTTGCATCAACTTGTTGGCTTTTGAGGAATGTTCATTATTTTCCTTTCTGTAAGGCTTCATGAATTTATATTTTCTATTAAAATATTGACGAGAAAAATTGAAATACTTGCTGCTCAAATGAACTAATTTTGTTCATTTTTCTATCAATTTACTGTAACATACCTACTGTGTTTGCATGATCTTGGTGCTTGGTGTTTGCTTCACCTCATTGAATTATATGAATATTGGTGTTTGCTTCACCTTATTGAATTATATGAATCTATTCACCTCATTGCATGAGCACTTTGGATGATCTCAATTTATTAGTATCCTTTATAATTCTTTCTTTTCGTCATCTAAATTCCACTCGTTGGTATAAGCTTTACTTCATCACTAAACTCATATGCTTATAGCTGAATATCACATAAACAAATCAATTATCATATTCCAACATGTCATTACCTACAAGTAAATAACTATATCCAACACTCGTTGCTAGTAATCGCATTCAACTTCATCAACCGATATCAATAAGTCTATAAAAATAATAATAACCATATACAACATTAAACCAACTTGAGGATGTTCAAGATACGTAAGTTTCATTGTTCAATTCTTCAAAAAAAGAAAAAGAAAAAAAGAAAAGAAACGGAAAAACGTAATAGAATCTATACAATAACATAACATCAGCTAATAAAACTTCATCAACAACGTCAAACTTCTTTGTTAACATCAATAAGTCCATACAAAAAGTAATAATCACATCCAAACTTCTTTACTAACATCAGTAAGTCCATATAACAACATCAAACATGAACGAGGCTAGATTACCATATTGGTATTAAAAGTAGCACCTAATGATCATATTTGTATTAAAATTATCTTTGGCGACAATAAGGTATTTAAACTTGTACGATGAGGTAAATAGACCCAAAAACAAAATTTTCGGTAGTTTTTTCGGCGACCACTCAGGTGATTTGCCACATGTGTTTAGATGGCATATTTATGATGGGGTGATAGCTACAGTTAGCCTTAATCAATCCATTACAATGAAAGATATTCAAATTGGCGTAAAAGAAAAGATGGATTTTTTTTATTCGGGACTTCTTCTCCTTCCTTTAAATTGGGGGTTATTTATTGTTTGAGCTCGAAGAGTCCATGTTCTCTAGCAATGGAGAACACCAAATTTAATAGAAAGAGAAGTCCCAAATTAAAAAATCTCTTGTTTCTTTTACCTTATTTTGAAAAGTTCCCCCCTCTAATGGTTTGAATCTACAGCTGCCGTGTCGTCATAAATATGCCACATAAGCATCACGTGACAGATCACATGACTAGATGACAATTTATCCGACTTCACTAACATCAATAAGTTTATAAAAATGATAATAACCACATCAACTATACAACCACATCATCTAACACGAATAACCAAAATGCAACTCCAAGCAATTATTCTAAATAACCTTATAATTTCTTGCAAAGTACCTCCGTTTCTCTTTGCACTCCAAAATGCTTTTGCAAACTATGTTGTTTGTTTCTTCTGTTAATGAAAGTCAAAAAGAAATTCATGTATAATATTTTAAAATAATGAAACAAAGAAATAATATACGAAAAAATATACGAACAAATAAATGGATTAAGTTGACTTAACAACACCTGACAACCTAACTTGTGAAGTCAAAACTTAAAGCTCGAACATGAAATACTCAATGTAAACACAAATCTAACTCGTTTTAGCATTGTCTTCATGAAATATTTTAAATTCAATCCAAATTTAAAACCAAATTTGAATTAAGATAAAGTTAAAATCTATGATCTACTAAGAATTTTTCTCATGTCTTAGTTATAGAATAGCACCTAAATAAAGGCATAACGTTTAGGATATTATCTTCTTGAAAGTGGTGTCGTTATTACTAATTGTTGCATGTTCAGGGAGGTGATGTCTAAGAGGATGACATCATTCGAAGAGGAAATGCAGTGAGGGAACAACAAATGTGGAGAGACATTGATAGTTTAAGAAAAGGAGGAGCCACTTTCGGTGGAAGGCGTTGTAGTGTATTAGGGTCTGGCGGAGGGGTGGCCGCAAAGTCACATGAGGATAGGTAGAGTTTGTTGGTGGAGAGGGCAAACTGGTAAGGGGAGATTTGGCCAGTAGGCGGTGGGATGTGCGCTGTAGGCGGACCTGATTTGGGTAGTGGCACTGCTCTTGAGGTAGGTAGAGAGAAGTTGGGCATTTGTGATGAGCATAGGTCACTAGAAATTAGGGGTGAGGGAGAGAGTGACAAAGAGCAGCCTTGGAGAAGAAAGAAACCAGAGAGGGGAATTAATTAAGACACCACCTCATGTTTTTTTTAAAAGGAAGGGGATTTTTTATAAAAGGACTCTACCTATCCATCCATTTTAATGCATTTAAATCTAAGGGCTAAGATCATTACACATCATTACCAAGGAGGAATAGGTTCCTTGGCACCAATGATGCCCATTCTCTCTCTCTCATATACACACATACATATATATATACACACATATACATATACATATACATATAGTGTGTGTAGAAAATAATGGATATGCTTGGTACCAAGCACAAACATGGTGCTTGGTAGTGAGGTGATACATTATAATCCACTCATTCTAATTATCCAACCCATGTGTATGTGAATCCTCCTTGAGTTACCTCACTATCAAGCACCAAACTTGGTGCTTGGTACTAAGCATACTCATTCTTAATATATGTGTGTACACAGATATATGTGTGTGTATAAACATCACATCTAAGATCGTAAAATGCATAGAGAAAATGTGTCACATCGATTGTACTTTTCATCCAACTAATCTCACTCACATATATGGTGGAGATTTCTCCACATCACAGATTTGGTGTTTGGTACCAAGCACAGATTTGTTGTTTGGTGCTTGGTTACTAGCATATCCATATTCACACGCACGCACGTGCATGCGCGCACACACGCATGCACACGCACGCACGCGCACACACACGCACACGCAAGCACTCATGCGTGCACACGCATGCTCGCGTGCACGCGCAAGCACACACGCACGCACACCCATGCACGCCTACCCACACACGCACACCCCCACACCCCCCACACACACATGCACAGATATATGAGCAATATGGAGGAATTTAGTACCAAATACCAATCACATGTTTTTATGTTTGGTAGCGAGGTCACTCATTTCTATCCACTCATTCAAATGATGGACCACATATACAGGTTAGAGAGCGGATGAGAATGAGACACATCACTACCAAGTACAAAATTTGTGCTTGGTACCAAATTCTTACATTTTTCTATGTATATGATAATGATGCATTCTTTTCGATAGCTTTCACATGAGCGGTAGACTGAACACCCATGAATATGAGGTGGTAGTTTATTTTGCTAAATGAGCTACCAAGAAATAGAGTGGTGAAGTCTACGCCTTTTAATATGACTAGCAAGGTGGGCCTCACCATATATCTCTTGGTAGCTTATTTTCTCATTTTGCAAAATGAGCCACCTTATACCCATTATTTCCTATATGTATACATGAGTAATATGGATATGCTCGAGACCAAGCTCACATCTAAGGTTGTAAAGTACAAAGAGAAAATGTGTTATATGGGCATATACTTTCCATCCAGCTAATTTCGCTCACAGGTTCCACCTCACTACTGAGCACTAACTAAGCATGGTACTTGGTAGTGTCTCTCTCTATATATAGAGAGAAAAATGGGTTGTTTGGTACCAAACACAAGTTTTTGTGCTTGGTAGTGATGTGACATATTCCCTTTTACTCATTGAAATCGGGGCCCACATTCACATGGGTTTGGGAGTGGTTGAGAATTGAAATGAGTAGATGAAAATAGTACACCTCACTACCAAGCACAAAATTTGTGCTTGGTACCAAGCATACCCATTTCTCTCATATACACACACACGAGCAAGATTAGTTGGGTGGAAATAAAATGTACATTCCTATGTGACCCCTTTTTTCTTTGTATTTTACAGTCTAAGATGTAGGGTTCAGATGCGTCCACCTCATTACCAAGCGCCAAGTTTTGCTTGGTACCCAAGCATATTCATCTCTCTCTCTCTATATATATATATAAGGTGAGGTTTCAAAGTTACCTAGGAATAAATTTAAAATTTGTTCCCTCTTTGAAACTTTACAATATACAGAAATGGAAAATCAATTCCATTATGATAAAACTCATAGAAAGCAAAGGCGTACCTAGTACGAATGCTTTCATGTCATTCATCCATCCATTGGTTCAAAAGCATTACAAGCATTGGCATAATAATCCATTTTCTAATGGCCGTGACAATGCAAATGTAAATAGTCCTTTAGTAGGAACCTAATAAAGACATCTAAATGCACGTTCTATGCATGTCAATGTCAAGGTTTTAAATGTCAAATGTCGGGTTCATGCTGAGAGGCTAAAATCCATGTCAGATAGCGGAAATCGGGAACATGTCGGGGGATATGTAGTAAACATCAAATTGTCATATCAGATGGTGTGTATACGTATAATTAGATAAGTAAACTAAATATACCAATAAGTAGTAATCAACTGATGTATCCAAACAAAACAACCTATACAATTTTACGTGAGGTTAAAACTCCAGATTTCTTCAATACAATCTATACTGAGACCTAGTGATGAATTATAAATCATAGTGCAACTAAAGCATTTATTCTTTGACCATATTGATGGCTAATTGAAATTACGTGATTGATCTTCTTATTTATAAATTAGAACTCTATCTTAGTAACTAATAATGTTACCAAAGCTGCAGCAAAACACAGGGAAAATATTTAAGCAAAGAGGGGAAGAGATTGTTTGAGGCGTCGTCGACTCACCGTCGAAGCCCTTGAAAACCCTAGTTTTTAGTTTCCACCAGCCGAAGCCAGAGAACCTTTGCGTTTGGGTCATAGAGATGGAAGTCGCAGAAGAAGAGAGAGCAGAGGCACAGAGACAGAAATCAAAGTTGCAGTGAATCATTTGATTTGGGGCCAAAAAAGCCCTAGATGAGATAAACTTGTGTTTGGGTCGGTTCGGTTCGGATGCAACTCAAAACCCGATAACTGCTCTGTTCTGCTCTAAAGTTACACATATCGGGCACTTTTTTTCATCCGAAATTGCGCCCAATATGTCCCCGATTTGAACCCCTAAATGACATACGACCTGGAGGAGGCCATCTCGTAGTGGTAAGGTCTCCAGCCTGGCATGGCGGCGACATTTAAAACAATGGCCAGTGATCACCATATTGATTAATGATCACAATATTGATTGACAAGCCAAAGAACATATGAGAACTTGGTGCTACATAGCTTCAGTGGAAAATTACTTACCAGTCCTCGTCTCCTGTAACTGTAAGAGAAATCCAGCCTAGCCTTGTCCTTGATTGATGATCAAATAGCTCTCTTTCCAACGAAATAGGAATATTGTGTGGATTAGTTAAATTTGGACAATTTCTTTGTTACCGTAATCATTATGTATACATGAATATTATTTTGTACTTGCACCAACATTTAGGATTAATGTTAAATTGTTGTATTTCCATAACAAATGGTTAGATCTAGATTAATAATAATATGGGTGATTTTGACTTTCCTACTAATTCTAACCTATAAACTTCGTTCATAGCTGGGTCACTGATTGTACTTTATCTATCACTTCTTTATAAGTTTATAATTTTAACTTGTTTAAAGCCTTCATTATTTAGTGTTTCTATTGGCTGTTGTGATGCTCAAGTTTGAGATAGATACTGCAATCCTTTTTTTTAACTTGGATATCCCTCTACATGTGTGATGCTGATTGATCGTCATGTTCACAGGGGAGAACCAAAATGCTGGTATGGTGTGCCTGGTGCTGAAGCTAGTGCATTTGAGCAGGTTGGAGTCTTTTGATAACTAACTGGCAGCATTTACTCTCTTACCAAGAAACTGCAATAAATATGATGTCAAAGGGTGAATATTTCTATGAAAATATGATTTTTATGCTACCTGCTTCTTATGGATCCACTTATTAAACAAGGAAAATATACTGCTTCTGTATGGAGACAAACCATATGAATTCCCAAATACATGCCACCTGCACTTCGTATGCTTGGGTTTAAATATGCATATACATGCCATTGTTTTGTATGATCAGTTTACTTTATTCCTTACCAGTACGCCAATTTTTCCATGCATTGCCTTTACAATCTATTTAGTTTGCGCTGAAGGGAGGTTCAGCTATTTTTTTGCTGGTCTGTTATATGGAAATCTGATTTGTTTTGATCCATTTTTCTCTTAGGTTATGCGAAATACACTTCCAGATTTATTTGATGCACAACCAGATTTGCTCTTCCAGCTCGTTACAATGCTTAATCCATCTGTTCTGCAAGAAAACGGTGTTCCAGTGTATAACGTGCTGCAGGTCAGCAGCAAACTTCTTGCATGCTTATTGTCTTTTTTTAGAACTTCAAATGGTTCATGTCTTTTTTATATTTATTTTATATTTTCAACATATTATTTCAAACTCTTTTGGTCTCTTTTTGATTTTGTTTTGAAATTGGTGTCACAAATGAACTTTATTTTCTCACTACATTATGGACATGCCATTTGACATGTGAATGGTCTCTTCATTTCCAGGAACCTGGAAATTTTGTTGTAACATTTCCCAAATCATTTCATGGGGGTTTTAATTTTGGTAAGTATTGATCATCTATAATTTTTGTTAATTCTAAGAATATTTTGTTCTACTGTTGTTCATTCTGGTGCAAAAAACCTCAAGTTCCTAGCTGGGTTCCAGGCTTAAATTGCGCTGAGGCTGTCAACTTTGCTCCAGCTGACTGGTTACCTCATGGTGGTCGTGGAGCCGAATGGTACCGACTCTACCACAAAGCTGCAGTTTTATCTCATGAAGAGTTGCTATGTGTAGTCTCCAAGGTGAGGGTTATTTTCCGTTTCATCCTTTTTGTATCTATAGTTGCACTGCAGCCAATTTCTTGCCTACTTATCGAGTCAGTGCTATAATTTCTTGATAGAACATACTGCACCTACATTTTTATTTCTTGTGCTGTTTAGGTTTAGAACAACTTATGCCTTTTTTTTATAGCAGTGGTTAGGTCCAAAACTCGACATTGAGGCTTGTCGCTGTTGCCTTTGCTATTACATTTGTTTGGCTTAACAAATCTTGTTGCATGATGTTTCCATGCATCGACTCTTGGGCTTCATGAGCGTCTATAAATGTTTTTCTTGTTAAAGTTTTAAATTGAATATAAATCGGCCTGCTGATGATGCTGTTTAATTAGTTTTAAGTGGTGCACCTGCATCATCAATGGAAGCGTGTTATGCAGTTATGGTATTTGGATTGATATAATTGGGTTTATAACCTGCAACAGATGTTGCTGATTATAGTTACTAGTTGTGACTGGTTCTAAGGACAGTTTTGCTGCAGTACCACTTGCATTGTCTTATTTCAAGAGTTGCGAATGAGAGAGTTAATATTCACCTCCTGTATCAGCATAATACTTGCATTTGCTATTAACTGCTGCTAACAAATGGTGGAGTTACGTTTGCGGCAAGATAACTAAACAAACAACTTGAAATACCAATTACAGTTGCATTATTCACAAGATGCCAATGCAGTTACAACCAACTAATAAATAAATTGAATTGGAAATTTGTGCAAAATTCTAAAAACACTTTGAGATGCCAATTGTTATGAAACGTAATGTAAAGTTGGTAAAAGAAAAGAAAAATAGGCAACTGGTGCGAAACGGGGGAGGGGGTCCATCGGAATTAGCGATCTAATTTGAACAAAGCACCGTTTCGCCAAAAATCATTTTATTCAGTAGGAAATTAATTAAAACAGTTAACGTGATAGATGAGTTTTAACAAGATTTTCAATGATAACCATAAACAATCCCAATCGCGAATAATTTAATTGCAAATTTATTATCATTGCACAAGTTTTACAATCAATATCAAATTTTAACAATCACATGTTCAGTTTCTCTCAACTCACAATTATACTTTAAACAGTGAATATATGATAAGAGTTTAGAGATGTATTATTCATGCAATTAACTAACAAAATAAAATCAACAGAAAAATAAGGGACGAAAGAAAACGAAACTTTCGTCTGTCTGAACAGACTCGACGTGAGAGACCTCTGGAGGTGGGACGACGACAACGATGAACTGGACGACGACGACGAGGCGGAGATGACGACGACGAGTGCGACAGTGTTGAACTGATAACGACGTGGTGACGAATCTGAACGACGAAGGTGGCGGCGATTCTGAGCTGCGACTAGAGTGACAGCGTCGGTAAGGTTGACGAGACGATTGCGATGTGATGATTTGTGGTAAGCGGCTGTGGTAGTAGTATTGTTTTGGTGGGAAATTTTGCCAAACAGTTGGTGTACATGAAGGCGGCAGTTGTTGGGAAAGGAGGCTCGGTGACAGTGGGAGTAAGGCGGCTGCTTGGGAGGAGATGATGGCGCTGGTGGTGCGGAGGTGGAGATCAGGGGCGAGCTGAGTGTGCTGCTTGGGAGGAGATGATGGCGCTGGTGGTGCGGAGGTGGAGATCAGGGGCGAGCTGAGTGTGGATCTAATGGTTACAGGGAAGAGGAGGGTTTGACTGATTGTTGACGTGGGGAAGATGAGGGAATGCTTGGCGACTGGAGGAAGAGGACACAGGGAACGGCCTAGGGTTTCACACCCGAGGCCTAGGTTTCACACCCAAGGCTTCACACCAGATTTTAGCTAATGCAAATTTTCATTCAATAATTCATTGATTTTCAATAGTCTCATACAACCTTATTTATAAAAAAAACTACATGCACACAGCGTGCAATAAAAATAGAAACAAACAATCCCTCAAATCACTCAACTAAATTTCAAAATTCAAAATTCAAAATTTAAAATTTAAAATTTAAATTTCAAATTTCAAAATTCAAATTTCAAATTTGAAATTTGAAATTTTAAAAATAAAAAATAAAAGAAAGTCAACTAATCAAATATGAAAATTGTCATTTCTAGTCCTCATCATTCTCCTCGGGTGGGAGAAAACTCGACTTCGTCGAGTTAGCTACAGAAACCTGTCATCTTTAATATACTCTGTCTGCATCTTAATCTACCATCAGATACTTTCTGCATCTCAAATCATTAGTTAGATTGTATTGTAAATTCACCATCTAAAATATTATCAAAACTTACTGCAACTTGGGTTAATATATAGAAATAAGGGTAAGGTGAAAGAACTCTCAGAACAATAGGCTAGGGTTAGGCTTATATCAGTGGACTGCCAATAACATTGTGAACTGTTTAATTACTCAATATTAAGAATAGAACTATGACCAAATCGATAATATAAATATTGCTATTAATTATTTTAAGAATTGGAAAAGCTCATAAATATCATGTCAAATCTTAAACAGCTATAAAGAAACTATTTTGGACAAGTCCAAACCATCTAAAATATCAGCATTAACAGTTTTAAATTATGTCCTGACTCTATATCATTCATTTCAGTTAACGATGTAGTTATTCAAGTTAGATCGCTGATTCCCTAATATATGATCAATGCAAATCAAAACAAAATGATGCAAATCAACTCAAATGACTATGTATGAAATGCAGACTCGAACAAGGCGATCAATGGCAGATGTAACTCAACGAAGTGTTTAACATGCATGACGTCCTCTATCAAATGGAATAATCAGATGTTCCTTCGTTAATATGAATAACAAATTTCGTGTTCTAGTAGTAATAGGAAGGAACATGCAAACAAGTGTATGAGAGAGGAGTGTTTTTGTACGCTTAACATGATAGAAAAAGGAAGTAAAAACACTCGAGCTCAAATTTGTATCCCTAATCACTATATATTCCCAAAATGGATCAGTGTATGTGTGAGTGACTGTCGGGACAATGCATAGGGGTTTGACATCTGATATGGTAGTTATTTCACTATGCTCAGTTTGAGTTTCAACTCCCATACAAATATCTGAGTGAATTGCTTCAAGAACCAAATCAGGAACGTGTTGGGTGTGATGTTTGTCCGGGAGGACTTCGTGGGGAATACCAACAACATTTTCAGTCACACAAGGGTTGGTTCAGGAGGAGTTGGAGTTTTAATTTTAAGAACAACTTTAGGGATAACATCAGTGGACTCCGTGATCAAGGGGTAGCTTGGGAAAGAACCAGAGTTTTGTCATTGCATGAAATTTCAATTAACTCCACAATTGCAGGAGTAGTTTCAGAAGAAACAAAAGTGCATGGATTTTCAATTTTACTATTCTGGAATTCCTTTGCAGAGTTAATTTCTATCAAATCTACGTCCTGATTAACGGTTTTCTCAAGAATAGATTTTGATTCTGTCATATGCGGCTTATTAATTTTAACTGGTGGAAGGTATTCCTTTTTTAGTTCGTCAGCCATTTCTTTCCAAGTTAAAATTGATAACTCACCACTAATATACCTTAATGTTTCGAATTTGGACCAATATTGACAGACTAGTCCGGTGAGTTTCATTGCCGCAAACTTAACTTTTCGTGGTTCCGTCATGGCATACCAGTCAAAGTATCGATCCATGTTCTTCAGCCAATTCAAGAAAGTTTGTGGGCCGAGCTTACCGTCAAAGGTTGATAGATCAGGCACTGGTTGAGGTGGGGGTCGATGAACGACGTACCCATGACCTTGCGGTGGGTATCCATAGCCTTAACTTTGTGGCGACGGAGTTGTAACACGCGCTCCTTCAAGCCTAGCAAACCTTTTGTTGGTTTTATTCTGGAAATTTGTTAAGCTTTGGGCTACGACACCTATTTGTCTTTTTACCTCATCGAATTTCTTAAGGAATTCAAAAGATATGCTGGACTCACTAACTGATTGACTTGACTCACCTAAGGTAGATCTGTGCGATTAGACATACACTAACAATTAACTGGGATGAGCGGGATGCACTGACAGCTAAATGTGATTAAGCATAAAAATTTCCTAACCTAGAACCATGCTCTGATACCAAAATGATACGAAACGGGGGAGAGGGTCCATCGGAATCAGAGATCTAATTTGAACAAAGCACCGTTTCGCCAAAAATCATTTTATTCGGTAGGAAATTAATTAAAACAGTTAACGTGATAGATGGGTTTTAACAAGATTTTCAATGATAACCATAAACAATCCCAATCTCGAATAATTTAATTGCAATATTTATTATCATTGCACAAGTTTTACAATCAATATCAAGTTTTAACAATCACATGTTCAGTTTCTCTCAACTCACAATTATACTTTAAGCAGTAAATATATGATAAGAGTTTAGAGATGTATTATTCATGCAATTAACTAACAAAATGAAATCAACAGAAAAATAAGGGACGAAAGAAAACGAAACCTTCGTCGGTCTGAACAGACTCGACGTGAGAGACCTCTGGAGGTGGGGCGACGATAACGGTGAACTGAACGATGACGACGAGGCGGAGATGACGACGACGAGTGCGGCGATATTGAACTGATAACGACATGGTGACGAATCTGAACGACGAAGGTGGCGGCGATTTTGAGTAGCGACTAGAGTGACGGCATCGGTAAGGTTGACGGGACGATAGCGATGTGATGATTTGTGGTAAGCGGCTGTGGCAGTGGTAGTATTGCTTTGGTGGGGAATTTTGCCAAACAGTTGGTGTACATGAACGCGGCAGTTGCTGGGAAAGGAGGCTCGGTGACAGTGAGAGTAGGGCGGCTGCTTGGGAGGAGATGATGGTGCTGGTGGTGCGGAGGTGGAGATCAGGGGCGAGCTGAGTGTGGATCTAGTGGTTGCAGGGAAGATGAGGGTTTGATTGATTGTTGACGTGGGGAAGACGAGGGAATGCTTGGCGACTGGAGGAAGAGGACACAGGGAACGACCTAGGGTTTCACACCCGAGGCCTAGGTTTCACACCCAAGGCTTCACACCAGATTTTAGCTAATGCAAATTTTCATTCAATAATTCATTGATTTTCAATAGTATCATACAACCTTATTTATAAAAAAACTACGTGCACACAACGCGTAATAAAAATAGAAACAAACAACAATCCCTCAAATCACTCAACTAAATTTTAAAATTCAAAATTCAAAATTCAAAATTCAAATTTGAAATTTGAAATTTCAAAAATCAAAAACAAAAGAAAGTCAACTAATCAAATATGAAAATTTTTATTTCTTGTCCTCATCAGCAATAGATCTAAAATGTAAATTCTTTTGATAGGCTAGAGCCTATCAGCTTTCCGAGATGTCATTGCAGGCTAGAGCCTATCAGCTTTCTGAGATGTCATTGCACATTTTCTGTCGCTTTAAGCTTTTCTATCATCTCTCTCTTCTTTCTACTCCTGCTTTATTTGTTTCTAACCTTATTCTTTCCACTGATGAATCACACAACAGCTTTGGCAGTTTCGTCATCTATGCTTGTGTTTTATTTTGAGCATGATGGCCCTGCTTGTGGTAATTCGTTTTATGTCTTTCTGCGTGCAATAATCACTAGTTGTAAGACCGAGGTTTACTTTTGTCTGTAATAAATGATGGTTCGATGTATTTTGCATCTACTGTAATCTGTGCAGGAATATAAACCGAAATATTGCCTGAATCCTAAGTTGCATGCAAACGGGTACGGGTATGGGGACGCAGCTACATATACTTCAAATTTAATAGTTTACATGAGATCATTATTATTTTTCAATTCATGTGCTATTTGAATTTAAATTTGTATGATATTTTTTAGTTTCTTTTATTATGTTGATTATTGTAAATGGAAACTGGTCATTTTTAAACTAGACTCTCAAACCACCTTTTTAAATCATAGTTTTGAACTTGGATATGCACTGATCAAACTCGACACATGTGTAACGAGTTTCAAGAAATGGACATGAAATGTAGGATATACGTTCTAGAAGTGTATGACACGTATTTATAATTAAAACATATATCATATAATTGAGTACATATCTGGATAAATGTATGCATATATACAATGAGCGTCCATGAAGTTTGGGTATAGGTACGTATCAGGCACGTATTTGTTGTTACGGTCATGGCTTCATAGTAGAAGTACCTGGGTAACATAGCTTGAATCTATATAAATAAATGGTTTTGTGTTCAGATTTGTGTTGAACAGACGCTTCAAGACCAATTCATTTGATTCAATAAACTATCTTTTTGTTGAACTAGGAAACTAAAACAAAAGTAATCTATTACTATCATCTCTCCTTTTGGTCATGTGTGTCAAATTTTCAAAATTCCAAAAACTACCCTCACAGTTTAAGTTATTTTTAAGTCATTTGGGGGCAAATGTGGAAAAAAAGCACAACTAAAAACGTGGTTGTCTGTCAAACTTTCAAGATTCCAAAAAAAAAACCCCTCCAAGCTTGAATTCCTTTCTAAGAAATCTAATGGGCAAATATGGAACAAGGCAAAAATGGAAGAACATTATATGCTAATGTTTGTCTTCTTTGATATAAGGATGACCTAGAAAAATTCACAGGAGTATAATTTAAATATATTGCTTTTACTTGTATCTACAGATTTATTAAAGGCTACTTAACACTTCAATATTTTATCATTTTACATGCTTTGCACTCATATTGTTGTGGCCTTAACTCATCGCATGCACCGGAGTACTAGTAATAAATAAGGACAATATATTGTTTGGGACCCTTGTTTGTTCTCATTAACTTTTTCCCTTTTGAATATTTCTGTTATCAAGAGGTAGGATTTGCTTTACATGATTATTGATTCTAAGACTGCTTATGGTTCTTAGATGAATTAAATCTGAAATTGTTGGAAGAATCAACAAATACTTGTCTTCCAAGAATTTGTTCTCCTGTTTAGGAGAATACGTTAAATAAATATGCAATTATACATTTTCCTGGGAGTTCTTCTGAAATGAAGAGGGTTGTTGATTTGTGTTGATGATGTTGTAGTCACAACTATCTGAATATATTCAGCTTAATGTATCTTGTGATTCACACACATAATTATGGCGACATGCATGTGATAATTATTCACATATTCATTTAATGTGACACTGATATTTCACACTTTATCTTGTCTTTATTATACATCACACTTTCTAGTTTCTAGGTATATGCTGTAATGTGGTCATTGATATTGACTGTCATTACATTAACTTATTCTGTTTGATTTTTTTTTATTTCCACAGAATGGTTGTGATAACAAAGCATTACCTTACCTGGAGGAAGAAATGCATAGAATATTTGCTAGAGAGAAAAAATGTAGAGAGGAACTCTGGAAAAATGGCATTGTCAGATCTTCAAGGATGTTATCCAGAAAACAGCCTATGTATGTGGGTACTGAGGAGGTATCTCTCCTGTTCATGTGATTCATGAATTGCCGAGTATAAACTTCTTATTAGATCTAGTACCAATAAACCTATCATTGTGCATAATTTTGTAGGATCCAACATGCATCATATGCCAACAGTATTTGTATCTTTCAGCTATATCTTGCAAGTGTAGGCCATCTGCTTTTGTTTGCCTTGAGGTATGTTGTATACATTCTAAACTTACCTTTGGCTTTATCTCGTTATCTTGTATCTAACTGCCGGAAAACCCAATTCCTTACCACTCAGTGCTGTTTGTAGAAGTGGCTTTATTAATATTATTATTATTATTAATCTGTTTCTTTTTTTGTGATGTTTGATTCGAACACTTCTTATATATTTGAGTATTTGTCCTAGAGATCGATAGGGCAACCCCGTCTGGATTACATTGCAAAGTTATGGAGAAAATGCTATTGTGATTCTGTTAGGTTAACTCACGAATGTCAATATCTCATCTTAGCTCGTCTTTGGACTTACCTCTATATTTTTTGTTGAGTCATTCGTCCTATGGCTATGTAGTCGGTTTGATTTGTGTCAGGGAGTCTTCTTCATGGTGTGTGTAGCATATATGAACATGGGAAAAATATCTATGAACTTTAGGCATTGTAGCAGCGACGTGCTGGATTTGGCTTGTAAGGGTTCAAGCAAGTGCTGTCAAAAGTAGTACCTTTCATCATCTTAAAGCAATGACCTATCATCTATGATTTTTTTTTGTGGGTAGTTGGAGCTTATTGTAAAAACTTTTGATGATTTTTAGCTTTTTACGTATGAATTTTTAAGAAAATCCAATGAACAGAAAAGTCATTTGTTTGGTCAAACCCAACTTATTTAGTTAAGCTTATAAGCAAGATTTTAAATGTTGGATATCAGGGAAATATTAGATAAGCAAAATTCCTATCAGATTGCTAATATTAGGAAAATGTCGGAGATGTGTGATAAATATAAGAGTGCTATCCCAAATGATGTGCAATTCATTGTTTAAAAAAACCTGTTATACAACTCGTTATGTTGCGTTATATAACCTAACATGTCTTAAATGTTATGTAACCTTATGAAATAACTCGGACACATTATAACTCTATGTTATTACAATATAATATGCGTTATTATATAACTTATGTTATTTTAATATAAAATATCGGAGATGTGTGATAAATATAAGAGTGCTATGTCAGATGATGTGCAATTCATTGTTTAAAAAAACCCGTTATATAACTCGTTATGTTGCGTTATATAACCTAATAGGTCTTAAATGTTATGTAACCTTATGAAATAACTCAGACACATTATAACCCTATGTTATTACAATATAATATGCGTTATTATATAACTTATGTTATTTCAATATAACATGTGTTATTTCAATGTAACCTATGTTTTTTCAATATAAGTCCTAAAGACTTGAGAGTATATCCTTTCTTAAAACTTGAAGTAGTTAAGTAATTGCTTATGAATTGCTTGTTAAGCCTTCATGTCTTGTTGTCGTGACATCATTATATGATTGTGAAATTATGAATATGACTTTTAAAATAAATGTAATTATGAACGAGCTATAAATTTATGATTATATATTTGAGTATTCAATTGTGATACTTCCTAGTAAATCTATATAGGTTGTATTATATTAAAGAATTTTTATTAAAATATTTTTATATTATGATATTCTATTCCTAATTCTTAGAATTATTATGAATATCTTTTATATACCTTTTATATATTTTGAAATTAAACACTAAAAAAATATTTTGTTTTTAATTGAGATGTTATGTTCAAATTTTTTTTTGATAATTCTAATTATTAAAGTCATTATGATATTCTAATTATTAAAATCATTATGAATTTATATAGGTTGTATTATATTAAAGAATTTTTATTAAAATATTTTTATATTATGATATTCTATTCCTAATTATTAGAATTATTATGAATATCTTTTAATCTTTTATATATTTTAAAATTAAATAGTAAAAAAATATTTTGTTTTTAATTGAGATGTTATTTTTGAAAATTTTGATAATTCTAATTATTAAAGCCATTATGAATAGTTTGAATTTATAAAATATGTAAGTAGTTAATAAACAAAATAACCTACATTAATCAACATTTTAAAACAAAGAAGTCCAAATCGACATTGCAATAGTTTGACCATTTTTTTTGAGGCCGAGTGTCACTTGATACATTGGAAAAATCATGGTATGTCACCCAAAAAATGCCAAAAGCGGTGAATTATTTGTGACGAGCCATGTAAAAGGACATATCAAACTGATATTTCAGTATATCGAGGATGTTTCACACAAAAGTTGTTAAAAGCGGTAAATGATATTTAGACCATATCGTTTTGCAGTAAGCCTTGTATATCGGCCTATATAATATCGGGTCATGTCGGGGTTATTTAAATCAATGCTAGTGAGCTAGGTTTCCAAAGAGTTGAGGAATCCTAGCTTTTCAAATGGGTCATAAAAGCTAGCTTATTTGTCATGTTGCCAAACAGTTAGATATGAATAAGGTAGTTTATAAGCTACTTTCACTACAAAAAAGAAAAAAAAGAAAAAAAAGAAAGAAAGCCCTTCCAAACACCCTCTGTGTCATTGAACCACCTGTCCCACGCAAGATAGCTCTGAATTATTGTGAGAACGTCATAGATGTCTATGGAATGCAAAGTAGTTCTGAAAAGACGAGGTCTGGTGCAAAATAGTAGAAGTAAATGAATCATTTGGTGAGTTCATTTGAAACAAGTCTGAATGGGTTTCACGCAAATGCATTTTTATGTGATCTTATTTCTATTTGTTTTCCATCCCCCCACCCCACCCCCGCAAAAAAAAAATCCGCCTATTCCGCATTTTTGTTTATTAGAGAAAAGAGTGAGACAATGATATTGGCTTATTTTAGGTATTTATATTCATTTTTATGATCTGATTTCTTGCTCCTTTCATTTCTTTCAGTAGTTCCACTATTTTTTCAGAAATCAGTTGCTACTTATGCTATTTAGGGTTTGGTTGATTGGTGTTATGTTTGTTTGTTTGTGGTATCAACTTGTGCTAGCTTTGATTGCAATAAAAGACATGTCAGAGCAATATGGCATGATGCCGGTGCTTATTTATAAAGGGAATGATACATATTTGAACTGGGGGTGGGATATTTGGACTTTGTTCAATATGATGCTATAGTAATATGGAAGACATGAAAAATTTGGTGTTGAAAGGGCTCCATTAGCTCTTTCATGTATTGGAATTTATTACATTCTGATTTCTGAATATTCAAATAGTGAGAGTTTGGTTCTTATACCAAGAATGAAGAAAAAAAACATATCTCTTAGAAGTAGAGAGAGTTAGGGTGTTTAAAGTAGAAAGTTAAAATTTACTAGTGTTAGATAGGTATAGATATGATTAAAGATATGATATGATTAGTTGATTACAGCTACTTATGATGGAGTAATGACTTGAGTAAGAATAAATAACAAAGAAACAAAACTATTTTCTATTATCATAGGTTTACATTAGGGGTCAGCCTTAAGCCCTTGTCTTTTTACATTGGTTATAAACCACCTTATTAGACATATTCAGGATGAAGTCCCATAGTGTATGTTATATGCTGACGATATAATATTAGTTTACGATACTAGAAAAGTATGATTTCTAAAGTAGAAAAGTGAAGACAAGTTCTCCAAACTAAATGTTTTAGAATTAGTAAAATAAAAACATAATATGTGAAATGCATCTTTAGTAAAACTAAAAAGAGAAACGAGCATGCCTTACATATTGATGGTCAACAAATATCTAAATGTAATCACTTTCGCTAGTTAGGTTCAATCGTTCATCATGATGGTGAGACTGAGAATGATGTTGTCCATCAAATTAAATTAGGATGGTGAAAATAGAGGAATGTTTTGGGAGTTTTATATGATCGTAGAACACCTATGACACTAAAGGGAAAATTCTATAGAATGGTTATATGATCAACAATGCTTTATGGATTAGAATGTTGGACAATTAAAAGACAACATGTGTGCAAAATGAGTGTAGCAGAAATGAGAATGCTATGTTGGTCTTGTGGGTATACACTAAAAGATATGATAGGAAATGAACACCTTTGTAGTAAAATAAATGTTGCTCTTATTGAAGATAAAATGAGAGAGAATCGACTACGGTGGCTTGGTCATATACAATGGAGAATTTTTAGTACATTGGTTAGGAAAAATGATAATATCATAGTTAATGGGCAAAGAATCTTGAGGTAGATTTAAATGAACTTGGTTGGAAGCAATTCAGAAGGATATGATAATGGTTAAGTTCATGGAGGAAATGCCCATAATAGATCGGAATGGAAGAATGAGATTCATGTATCTGACCCCAAATATTGAGATAAAGGCTTTGTTATTCTTGTATATAGATAAAATAAATATAATGGATTCAACATGTCTTCCAATCGGTTTTGAACCTTCCTTGGAGGTGGATCCTCCTATGTTTAAAGGAACTCCTATCTATACCCAAGTAATCAAGGGAGGAAACTCACTGGAAATATAATAGGTTATTTTAAAGTAAATAATAGACCACTCTCAACTTGAAATTTTTTCTTTCACATTTCTGAAATAAAGTCGTAAATAAGTGCTAGAATTTCATCTGATGTCACCCGCAGCACAATGAGTTTTTCATGTATCAATTAATCCTTTTTTTATTGTACAAATTGTTGGATTTTTACGTTGTGATAAAGATATAATGAGCCTGAGTAAAAGGAAAATTCAAACAAAGGAAAATATTATATGTCAAGCATTTTACATACCTTCACGAGTAATCCACTATTAGTCCATTATGATGCATTGTTAGTTAACTTGACTATTATTCTTACAAAGATTTACATCCAAGCTGCTGGTATTCTTCATAAATAATTAAAATTTAGAGGTTGTCAAGGTTATACCCGCCCATCTGAGTCTAACAAATTATTTCTTCCTATGTTTATGATATGCATATAGATTCTTTTAAATTAATTAAAGCTGTATAAATAGTTAAAGTCAGTAATGTTCATTAGTGTTGCTACATATGTTCGTATTACTATAGTTTTATTGCAGTTGTCATTCTTTTCCACCTTTTGTGCAGCACTGGAAGCATCTTTGTGAATGCAAACCCAGCGAGCACCGTCTTCTTTATCGTCAGACACTTGCAGAACTACGGGACTTGGTCTGCATTGCATCTCCTGTGTCTGGTAGTGCATGTGAAGAAAATCATTGCAGCAGTTCTAAACATGGGTTCCTTAGAGAACCATGTGTTATGATAAAAAAGGTTCTCTCCCGCTACAATTAATGCTAAGGCCTACTGGTTTTTTTTCCTTCACATTCTACTAAAAGATATTTGATGTACTTCCTAATGTCCAAATTTCTCTTCGTGTCCTTGTGGATCAGTTTGCTATTAAAATAAATGCACTATGCTTTGCTATAGCTTAATTTGAATGAATTTCCATTCCTTCTGCTGCTGCATACTTATATTGCAGTTTTGTCTTTTAGGTGAAAACTGGTCAGATTTCTTATGTACAGCTTGCTGAACAGTGGCTTTCAAATTCTTGCCACCTTTTGGAGCTTCCATTCTCAAATTTCACTTATAAAAAAGCCCTAAAGGAAGCTGAACAGTTTCTTTGGGCTGATCATGAACTGGATCCGGTATGATTAGATTCTTTCATATACATGAGTTCATTGTATATCTACGATATTTGATTTCCACTGTGTTATACTCGTTAGGTACGTGATATGGCATCTAGATTGATGGAAGCTCGGAAGTGGGCTTTGAACATTAGAAACATTCTTTCTAGGGTGGAGGACTGCTTGCAGGATCGGGACAATCAAATACAAAAAGTTCCATTACGTGAAATTGAGGAGCTTCTCATGGTCAACCCTTTGCCTTGTTCGGATCCTGGGCATGTTAAATTGAAGGTTAATAAAGTGGAGAGGTCGATACTTTTTCGCTTAGTTTATGGAAGTTTTATTCATATACTTATAATTGTTGCAGACTTACTCAGAAGATGCAAGGGCGTTAATTTGTGAGATAGAATCTGCGTTCTTGTCTTGCTTGGAGGTAAGGAGAAGCACAATAGAATTCCCCCATAAACTTGTTTATTTTTGTTTTAACTCTTGTGATTCTGCTCTATTTCAGTTATAATTTTTTTTTTGCGTTCCTTTATTTTACTTATGTCACATATAGCTAAGAGAAACTTCAGAGAATCAAATTAAAACTCTGTTGAGATCTTAAGAATAAGATAAGGTGCAGATGTTTTGGTATTTAATAGTTTCATTCACGTATCGTGGTTCATTTCTATATTTACATTCTGATTGGAAATTTACCCTATATTTTCCCTCAGTTGGAACAAACATTGTTGTGAATTACAATTTTAACTTAGTATTCTGCTGCTTTATTGGATGTAAATTTCTCTATTGGGTTATAAACTTCACTTGGTTCTTTCCTTTAAAGATACCCAACTTATCTCACTTCTTCTTACTTGGCATTTCAATATTAGATTGGCAAGCTGGAAATATTGTACTCAAGGGCAACTAAATTTCCGATAATGATAGAAGGAACTGCAAAATTAGAAAATGAGATTTCTTCTGCAAAGGTATGGCGCATGCTT